AGAGTAGACGGACACGTAGGAAGATTAGAGCAACGAATGTGAGACGTTATACCGGGGGAAGGATTTGATCTACAGATTCGGTATTCAATAGGACTACTGGTTGGTAAATGCCAAAGGATTGATGGAGTTTTTTTTAAATAAAATTCCCAAAAAATAAATGAATTTAGATAATACAAATAAAAGTATCTTATATAACCAAATTGCATTTATAATTATAACTGTTCTATAGCTCGAGTTTAAACAATTCCGAAAAACAATGACCTCGGTAACTAACACAGATATACATTCCCTCCGACACAGTACCCCGTAGATAATTCCCTCCTGCGAGTCTCACGTAAGCCCCTGTCCTATGTGCATGAACCTACACATCTCGCCAAGAGCTGTAGCCTAACAGCCTAATTTTCATTAGTTTTATAAAAATACCCTTGTAGATCAATCCTCTGCCCTCCATGGCCTCGCTCATCTGCCTTGGGTTGGATCTGGGATTGCGATCTTCGCAAACTTATTGTTGTGCACTGGGTCCTCGCTTTCCCTTCCGTGGTTGCTTGCGAAACACCGAATCCAAACCAACCCAAAATTGCATCCCGAGGGAGAGCCCCGGCCTAAGATTGTACCAGATCCCCCCGCACCGTGCCTCGTATTATTTCTTTTTTTCTTAATCTTGACTGAGCTAAGATACCTCTTAAGCATATACTCTCCTCCCCGCTCGCGTTGACTTAGCTCTGTATTTTTCTACTCCACCCTCCACCTCATACCCCACAGGATCTTTCACTGTCCTCCCGCACTCGACTACGGGCTAGTTTGGTGAGTAAAATGACTGTGTATGAAACCTAAAAAAAAAAAAATAATAGAAAATGTGATCGAAAAAACACATAAAAAAAAAAAAAAAAAAACCCAACATCCCGCATGCTTACTTTTACAACCCTCCCAACTTTTATTCATTTAATGCGGAATCCGACCAATTGTCTTTCTGCATACACGCTGCCACAGGCGCCTGGAGTTCGCAGACTTCTATTTTTTTATGTTATTTTTTTTGTCTTTTTCTTTTTTTTTTTTTTATTTTTTTTTTTTTTTCTTCCATTATACCCGATTAATCTCAAATCATTTATCGTCTGCTTCTGTAAAATCCTTCTCTTCTCGCATCGGATAACTACTGTTATCGCGGTAAATAAAATACCTGCAAACCCACGCAGAATAATCTTGTGGCACAATGTTAGTGGTGGTGAAAGGCGACAAAAAAAAAAAACTAAAACAACAAATGCCAAAATTAATTATTAACGATTCGACTATATTTTCTATAGAAAAAGTAAAGTTTCCTTTGGCCCTTTGACACCAATTATTGCGAGCTCCGTTACCATGAATGAGCATGCCTGGGGACATGAGGGGGCTCTTATTGAATTGGGTGTGATGTTTTTATATTTGCGATGCTGGACTTTGTCTTTGGACCATCTGTGTTGGCATGATTATTTACGAGATTCGCACAGGTTTATGTGACATTAAATGTGGCTTTTGATTGGGTGATCGGTTGTGATTGGTGGTTGATGGGGGGGTGGCCAACTGTTAGTTTTTTATGATATATATTTTTGTCAGTACCCAGAAGAAGGGGAATAGAAGATGGAATTTTGGGAAAGACATTCCTTGTTGGTAAATATATCGTCTCGAGGTCTGGATATTCCAGGTTTATTTTAAGGTTGAATCGCCCACAGTTGTTACGCAAGTATCTCGCGTCTGCCTTGATCATGCTTTTGTAAATGAGATAGAGTTCTGTAAGGTGGGAACTTCCTGGATTGCGTCATGCATTCCAGTGGACCTCACGCATGCTAAAATCACTGCTTGTTGTAAGTTGTTTTTTTTTTATTTCTCTGCTATTTAACATAGTTCAGTCTAATGTATACGTGTCTCAAACAAAACCACCGTGTACCTCACAGTGTACAGTATTATAGTGTATTGACGTGCTCATAAACATGTTGCAATATTTTAGAGTATGTCGATGTTGATGAGGTGTGTCATAGGAGGGATATTATAAAAGTTGAACTACTTCTTCAAGTACATTGCCATCTTCATGGAAGGAACTGCAGGTACAGAACGTGTTTAAATATATGTGGCTTTGATATACGTAAAGAAACTGAAAATATTTTAACACAGAGGTAAAATACGAAGGTGCATCTATTGGAATTATTTTTCACTCGCGCTTTTACAGAGTCGATATTCAGATTCCACAGCTGAAAAGCTCGCATTTGCTTGTTTAGATCTACAACCTATGATCAGTACCTCTTGAGTGCGACTGCCTTTCGCTCAAGAAACAACCTACCAAAACACATCATTTACAGCCCAGAAATAACTCGTACCCTGAGTAGCCTTAGAATACCTGCGTACGAAGAACCTGTTTTTCTTTGACACTACCTATCTTGACTTGTGTCCGTTTGTATTCGGTAGTTCACTAGCAATACACTATTACATTCAACTGACGTCCTACCATGTGTCTCTGTCAGCCAAGTTGCATACATCCTAACTAAAATCTTAGTCAAAATAAGGGATGGGAGATTGGTTTATTGAACCAGCACTTAACTTCACATTCCACCGACTAGCGAGGTTCTGTGTTCTTTCATTTTTAATTAGTAGTATGACATCGTCGACCTCGATTACATTTGTGTGATGTTGAGTTGCACCCCTAATTTGGGATTATAAATTAAATTTAATTCATTACAATGTTCAAATGTTAAATTTTTCAGAGAATATAAAGATCACGTAAAGTTCGGTTTTGAAATGCGAGCTCCGACTACGAAAATGCACGTGTTCAAGTATTAGAGATCAATCGTATAATAACGTCTATATTTCACTTCGAAATAGTTATCGTCTGACGAAATGCGATCCGGCAACGTGACAAGGAGCACAGCGAGTGCCATTTGTTTGTTGCGTAGAACCTGAGCGGTCGAACTTTTTTAGTGCTTCGTTTTGGAGAAATCGCTTTTTCTACCGCATTGTGGCAACGGTCCTGTTTACAAAGATCGGCTCCACGCAGACTAAAAAGGCATACGGAAGATGTATGTATCTCATATTTTCACTTCCGGAAGGAATCCAATAAATCTCTTTCTGGGTGCAGTGGTGTGTGCAGAAAGTATAGTTTGTGATTTTTCCTTCCTCGTCGGTCCCACGATGGGTGGCTTTTATAATGCCACGAGAGTGATGCATTACCTCTCAGTCAATTCCAAGGTTGATGTATTTTCATCCGACAACATTTTAAAGCAAAACACTCGCGCAGTCGCTCTGTGGACAAGCTAGTGCAACTTCTCAGCCATATATCATTGTAAAATTCACTTAGGGCGCTGTATAAACGTCATAGTTTATGCGCAGCGCCGTGCCGCTCGTATTTGTTGTCTTTGTTAACTGTGCATGTTTATTGAAATAAATCGTGTCCATAATTCAGTAGTGTAAATAACAATTTTCCACGGTGCCGGTTGTCGCCACGCGTTTCCTGCATTGTGTGGTTAGAGCGTTGTTTGTTTCGGTTTTAGCACCGGGCTTCCAGATTGATATTCGAACTGTATGCGGAGGTGGCGCTGAAATGAACGGCGTAAACAGCGGGCGGTGGGCTTACGATACACCGCTCTGCCGCTGATCCGGCCGCGATGAGTCGTTCATGCGAGAGAGAGACCCGGAATCCGCGGAATCGATTCATTTGGTTGCTGTCGCTTGCGTGAACTCCTGGTCGCCGTGGTGCATTGTGCGTGATATCTGAAACTGGTTTGCGTGATGACCGACTTTATGTGTTTGTTTGAAGTTTGTTTCGTGCTTGTCAACGCTGTGAACTGATCTGTTTTGGGTCTTTTATGCAAAGAAAGTGGATGTTTTAAATAGTGAGTCTTTTGATGGTGATAAAATCAAGTAGTATTTTACTAGAAATTTATTTCTACTGCTAAATAAACAAGTCAGTCGTTTATTCAACATACCAAAAGTACCATTAATATTTTAGCTGTGGTTGTAGAACACTTGCAGGTTGTTCACCACACGAGGCACTTATTAATTGAAATGTTCTCTCAGTGAGGCAGCTTAAAAAGAAATTATTCGAATTACGCGTAAATATAGTGCTGAAACGTGATGAGCAATTGTGAAGATGACATTTTAAAATAAGCCCAGATTGTACTGAAAATATTAATAATCTAAATAACAGATCAGATTAATTAATCGTACTATAATTAGATCAAGGTTTATCTTCATTTCCACTTTTGTTTGAAATAAATGATATATATTGTTGGAAGTTCTTATCATGTTCTGTGCGTGTTGTAGCTTGCATTTGAAGTTCGATAATTTCACCGAGAAACCTTTCTAGAGAACTATAGGGAGTCTGCTTTGTAGTGCTTCGCCCAACTTGGCGGAACACTGCCCGGCGCTGCTTCAATCCCGAAGGGAGGTGAGGAGCTGCACGCCGAAATTCCAGAGAAATTCTTGCATCGTCCTCGTCTACAGGTGCCTCCTGCGTCGAAAGGGTTTTGTGTTAGTCCACTTAGATCAAATTAATACGTTCGATTCCTATCTTTTCTTCTTCACTTAACGTTATCCGAGATCCCGAACTTTCTCATAAGCCCGCGGAAACTTCCAGAAGTGTGTTCCTCGACCCTCGGGCCCTAATGGGCCGCTCATCTCGAGCGTGAAGCTGCTCTCGCTCTTGGCGAGTTTGCGTGCCTTTCTGCCTCTGATGAAAATGTTAGGCCGTGGATTTTAAACGTGTTTTCGGCGTTTGTTTCGACTTCGCGAAGGTTTCCTGCGTGGCAGCGGGTTTTCTACCGGCCCCTGTAGTATCCCGCTTCTTCAAATTTTTACAGCGCGGGTTTTACGTTGTTTTCTTTGAGATGAGAGTCGCTTCTGCACCTTACGTACGTTTACTATATAATCGTCTTGGTGCTAAGTGAACAAGTAATTGTCATTTGAGAAATGTCTTTAGTTAAAGTTATTTTAAAGGTTTTAATTTTTTTACTTAATTGTACGTACTGTAAATCAATAAAAATAATAATACATCACCAGTAATAATAATATTCTGATGAATATGAGAAGCTGACATGATTTAATGTAATATGAATTTACACCCCATTCCCGTAAAGCAAATTTTCATTGCGTAACTCCATGCTGGATTCTTTTGCGGTTTTACAAATTTCGGTTGAACAAGCCATACGATTTTCATTAATTTATCGAATATTCGGAAGTTTGATGAATCAGAGCAAAATATTATTTTTTGCTGTTTCTCATGGCATGAATAGATGGTTATCAGTAAGTATATCGAATAGACATAAGAAATCAGTTGAAAACATCTAGAGACTATTGAAATTGGTTTTGAAGAAGACCCACGAAGTCAAGTGATGTAAAATATAGTATGAGATATTATAGAATGTATCATATTGTAGAGTGCTGATATTATTAGCTAATTTCAAGATTTTTGTTCAGGTAACTTTTATTTCATCTCGAAACTGAAGGAGCCGCTTCGAGAGGCACTTTGCAAGAGAAAAGGGACATCTTAACGTCATGTTACGGAGTACAGGAGGTACATATATTGTTTGTACGTATTCCAGTATTATAAATACGTATTCGCACCTTTCAGTGCCTATAGTCGCTCTCCCCCTGGCTGTGACATTCCTCCTAGCACACCCACTGTAATTCTTTCCCCGTCCATCGCGCCGGCACGGCGGTGTTCGCGACCCCATATCGGGTACTTAACATACACTTCAAAAAACGTAGCTCAGGAGCTCATCGCGGTTAGCAAGAGATGTGTATTCACAAATTAGACAGTTGACAGTGTTCAAAGTCTTTCCCAAAATCCGCTAGACGTGTGGAAGAA